TATGTGTATAAGTATTAAAGTGAAAGAAACTAACGAAGAATATATTTATTATAACTTGAAAAATAAATTAAACAATACAAATAGTACTTACATTTACATGGACTTAAGTCATCTATATCAGTTTCTTTTTCTTGTACTAGTCAATTTTCAATAGTATAATCTTCTTTTTCTTTTTTTTTATAGAAGTAACCAGCTTCAACCATCAACTAGTTGATTTTAACGAATTTAACCGAAAATTTAGAGTTTAACATGGTTTAATTAGACTGCTGCCATTTTTCTGGAAACCATAATTAAGAAAACATCGCTTTTAAAATTAGTGAAATTATTATTCAGGGTTCTAAAACAAAAATAAATTTTGCAGTAACTGATAATGCCTCAAATATGGTCATAGCTATTAAAGATGCTTTGGAATGAAAACATTTAAATTGTTTTGCTCATACGTTAAATTTATTGATGGAGGACGCACTTAAATGCTGTCGTGTACAAGTAGATAAAATAAAAAGTCTTTTTTTCGACAATTCGACAAAAAACACATTTCAAAAAAGTACCTTATCTTCAGAAATGCCTTTAAAGTATCAATTACAACATAACAAAGATCCCAAACGGCCAATCCAAGACGTGGAAACTAGGTAGAACTTCACCTATTACATGTTAGAAAGAATGACGGAGTTAGAAGAGGCAATCCGTTCCACATTGGTATCAGTTAATACAGACTTAGACCAAATCTAAATAATGAAGACTGGATTATTTTTTCGTAATTATCCTAAATTTTACGGCCTTTTAAAGAAATAACAAGTACAATGAGTGGCCAAAAATACTTGAATGATAGTTCAGTGATTGTTCTGGTACGCTGCCTGCAAAAATCTTGCAATAAAGTTTTAGCAAACAGTAACCTTACATCCATAGTTAGTATCCGACGTAGTACGGGTTTTTATTACTAATTACGGGATAATTACTAATCTCGGGTTTAGCAAAAAGATTTAGAGGGATAGAATACAGTGGCATATTGTCATTATGTACGTTTATGGATTCACGATTTAAAGTGCAGGGATTTTCTGATGAAAATGACACTAAAAAAACAAAAGAAAGAGTTAAGAAGCTGGTTACTTCTATAATTAAAGAACAAGAAGATTGTACTATTGAAAATCAACCAGTATAAGAAAAAGAAACCGATAAAGATGACTTAAGTCCATGGTGTATTTTTGATCAATTAATTGGACATGACTCATCTAAACGTACACATGTAGCGAGAGTCCATTACAATGGTGAAAAAACCATCGCCAGGTATCTCCTAACTTAACCACTATATTCATAAAGTATTGTAAATTTGAACACATGTTTAAAATCAGGTTTAATTTTAAATAAAAAAAAACACAATTAATAAGAAGTAAAGTAAAAAAACTTATGTTTTTAAATGTCAATTTAGACGATTCGTGATTTAATAATAACGTGTAATGTAAACGTAGGTACGATTTACTATTTGTATTGTTTAGTTTAGTTTTCAAGTTATAATAAAATCTTTTATTAGTTTCCTTCACTTCAATAAATATACAGATAAACGATAATAGCCATTATGTTTGTTTATGTAGGTAGTTTCTTACTTGAAACTACTATTAAAAAATCATAGTTACTTGTTTACGAAAATCGGTTTTGCGACGTCAATGACCCACCTCTATTCGTAAATACCTGTTTACGCTTTGATTCGGTGATTTGACCACGCGACACGCCACGTTGGCAAATAGTTTTGTACGAAGCTTTTTTATTTATATGCAGTTTAATATTTTTATTGGAAATAAGGCATAATGTCACTTTAAAATAAGCTTATTTTGATGTTTAGATTTTTAATTCGGAAATCGTTTTTAAAATACCAAACATTAATAAATTTTATTTATATAAAATGATTTCCGAAGTATAAATCAAAATGTTATATTACACTTATTGTAAAGTAAAATTGTGGCATATTCCCAATAAAAAACAATAAGCTGCCATTTAAATCCATTTCGCCCAAATTTCATTATCTTGGAGCATTGTTCAAATGCGAAAAAGACAACAGGTCAAATAAAACCAATAAGTTTGGCAACGTTGAATTTCCCCTTTTTATTATATCCACTCCATATCCACTCATTTATGTTCGGTGATATAAAAGGCGGACACCTAATATATCTCTCTCTTTTTAAACAGTTGTTTCTCACTCCATCTCATGTAAGGTCCATACCGACCATAAACTTTTACCTATACTGTATATATATTTGATTATGATAGTGTATCGATGGTCTATTCGGCATTCTGTCAATGCTTTTAACATTTTGTGATGGCTTAGGATATCGAATGCCTTCTCGTAGACGAAAAAATCAGTGCCAATGGTTTGTTGTATTCTGCAAATTTCTCTATCAGGTTCTTTATCACTAGTAAGTGGTCGTGCTATCTATTGTGCTATCTATGTTAACCGGATCTAAATACAACTTCTTCTCTAGGCTGACAAAAGTCTAATTTAGAGTCCATGACACACGAGTTTTAACTTTGTTTAGGCCTGAGCCTCTTCAAGGAATGGGTGACTCCTTTTTTTAACGGAGTTGTGGGGGGGGGTGAGAAAAGTCAAATAAATGATGCACGGGCTAAGAAGTAGTAAACTACTAAGGAAAAGGAAAAAAAAGGTGACTTATGTGTGTGATTGATAAGAATCGATAAGAACGCACAAGAAGAAGTGGGATCTGCCTGGCATGCCAGTTGAGGTACTTCAGGAGTTACCAGCCATATAGTAGGAATGGCTCTTTATCAGCGTTTTTGGCGCGCAGTCTTTATCTGCGATTTTGGATGGGCAATGTTTTAAGAATTGCAAAATACTCATCAGGAGGTTCATGTCCAGTGTTATGTAGAAGTTTTGCTGGAGGAAACGGAACTTTCTTAGTGAGATACCTGGTGAGTATTTGCCTTTTAAAATTGCAAGGTGTCTTTAAGGTTGGTTTTGCTCGGTTGTTCGAGCCGACTATGATTCTTAGGAATACTTCCTGCTAAGGGTTAGAATTCTGTCCTTGATTGGCGTGATGTTGGCCAATCTGTGAATGTGGGCTGATGGATACGACCAATCTTTTCTCATGCAGTATCTTAGCATTTTACGTTCTGTATCTGCGATGGCATTCAGTTGGTGGCTCTTGAGAGAAAGGTAAACGCATGCCTTGTATGCGATTATCGGCCTGACAAAAGTCTTGTAGGTGTGTAATAAAGTTTTGGAGGACATTCCGCCAATTTTACCGGTTAGAACTTTCAGGAGATTGAACCTCTGTCTCACCTTATCAAGGGATTTCTGGAAGTCGGCCTTCCAGTTGAGAGTTCTCGTAAAACGAACTCCCAAGTTGAGAACCGAGTTCCCGAGAATGAGGTTTCCTCCCAAAAGTGATATCCGGCCCTGGATGTCACGACAGTAAGGGGATTTGAATAATATTGTTTGAGTTTTGGAGGGGTTTATTGTAACCCTCCATTTGTTGCACCACTTCACGAGTCTGTCGAGGTATTCTTGCAATCTGTCGAATACAGAGCGTCGTTCACCCACTCTGTGGGAGCCTGAAGTGAGAATGACCGTATCTACAGCAAAAAGGAGGAGAGACTCTGATTGTTGCTCTGGGCGGGGAATGTCACTATTGGAGATTGTGTAAAGTATTGGTGCAAGTATTGAGCCTTGGGATACTCCAGCTTGTGGAGTGAAGGGGGTGGATAGGTGGTCAGCTACTTTGATTCTGACCGTCCGGAAGGAGAGATAGGTATTAATTAATTTAACGAAAGGTGTTGGCAGTCCAGTGAGGTGGAGTTTTTCAATCAGGCCTTTATGCCAGACCTGATAGAATGCCTTCTGGACGTCGAGGAATATGCCCATGACGTGTTTCCTTTCGTTAATTGATTGTGAGATGAAATTTGGTAATCTGGAATAAGAAGTGAGCGTCTAGGAATTCTACGAGTCTCTCCTTAAGGATCCTCTCGTAGACTTTATCTAGGGTGCTCAGTAGTGAAATGGGTCTGTACGATTCAAAGTTTGTGAGGGTTTCCCTTTTTTCGGGATCCAGACGGTGCTGGTCACCTTGCAAGGAATAGGAAAGTAGCTCAGCGCTATAGATGCATTGATTATATTAGTAAGCAACGGGATATTCTGCGGAAGATTTTTAAGGCATCTTCTGTGGATGCCATCTGGGCCAGAAGATGTGTTTTTACCCAAGTTACACATCTGCCTGACAGCGTCCTCAGTCACAGGTGCCATCATCGGGTGAGGATGGGGTCCATCATGTGCCTGAGGGTAGTAGAATATATCTTGAATTCTCCGTTCGGCGGCTCTTTTTCACCTTTCGCAGAAATCTGGGTTATTAGGGGAAATGAGGGTGGTGTGTAATGTGATTTTAAAAGCTTCGGCCTTATCTTGTTGATTGTTTAGGATGACGTTATTTATTATGAGATGAGATCGATTTTTTTCGGTCAATGCAACGGTAGATGTATTCGGTGAACAGCTTGACCAAAGCCTGGATAATTTTATTTCCTCCTATTTTGATCGCATCGATTACTACTCCGTCATGGCCAGGGGATTTGTTATTTTTCATTTCTAAAAGTGCTGGTTTAATTTCGTATGGAATTATTTCTGGTAATAATTCTGATCGCTGGTTTGTGATTTTGGGCAGGGGCTGATCTTGACTTTCGTCGGTGCTCTTATACATTTCGCGATAAAAGTATTCGACAACTTCAAGGATATTGGTTTTATCAATAGTAATGTTTCCATCTTTGTTTTTTATTTTGTACATATTTTTGTTGCCTATATTGTTCGTATTTCGCCTTAACACTTTCAACTCTTGTTTTTTGAATTATTTTAGTTATTTTTTTTGTATTGTTTTCTCTTACGTCCTTTCGAATTGACCGGTGGATATTAAAAATACTTTTAATTTTATGTAAATCTATAAAAACAAGCAATATTCAGATAAATACGAATATGTAATTATTGATAGTGAACTATTTGTCCTCAGGTATCAGACTTTTACCACGACGCTTCCAGCGGCAACCAAATGGATATCGTAGTGGTGCGCGTTATGTATTTAGAAAAAGAAGAAGAGGAAATCGACCTGGTGATAAACACCGACGCGGAGAGCACGCTTGCCAGCTTCTGCAAGTGGCAGGTCAAGATTAATCCCAAAGATATAACTAATCCGAATTATCATGATATTGCCGTCTTGTTAACGAGGTAAGTGGGCGACTTAGTTTGTTTGCTTTATGATTTAGAGTTTATGTAGAAATTTTAATGGTTATTACGCAATTACTCATGAAATGTTTGATGTTTTAAATAAATAGAGGTGGGTGATTAGTTTATTACTTTATAGCGAAAGACATTCTAAATATTCATACTCTGTTGCAAGGTATGCGTACATTTTCAAAAGTATTATTCATTATTTTAATGTAAATAACTATTTTAATTTATCTAAACTGCTAAATATGGCCTTTGTGTTTAAAAAATTTCCAATTTTAATAAATGACAACTATAGTTATTATTATTATTATTATATAACAAATAAGGGCATAGGAGCAAGCTCCTATTATGCCTAAAAAACAAAAAAAAAATATCCTTATAAAACTAATACTAATTAAAAAGTTAAGTGAAGTTAAATAATTAAGTACATCATATAAAATTGTGAAACAATAAATAAATAATGGTGTCCGAAAATATCACAATCCTATAAATAAAATAAAGCGCTATCAAGTTTATTTTTTTTCTTAAACCACCAAAAATAAAGAAGAAATCGTGGATGACAAATGATTTCTAGATATGATGGAAGAGAGGCAAAAGTTCAAAGATCAAGACATGTCATTATAAAAAAGAATCGATAAAAAGATCAAAAAATCCATTAGAATAGCTAAGGATACACATCTAAGAAGACAGTGTTCGGAAATACAGCAATTGCAACATAAACACGATTCATTTATTATGCACAAAAAAGTTAAAGAAGTCGCAGCCTTATACAAACCTAGAAGACTTGGGTATTTGGCAGATAATTAAGGCAAACCACTGTTAACTGTGGAAAAAAAAACTAGACACTTGGAAGATTTATGTGGAAGTAACTTTTGCAGATGAAAGGCAGAATACAATTGAAGACACTGAATGCCAAACAGGACCCCCGATTACCATTGAAGAAGTCACGTCAACTATTAAAAGAACTAAGGATGATAAAGCGGTAGGGCCTGACGAGTTTTGTGCAAATTCCTAAAACTTATGGATGAACATGGAATAAAATGGATAACAAACTGTAATCAACAACATATACTAACTGGAAAAATACCCCAAAGCTGGTTAAAGTCGACCTTCGTGACCATACCGAAAAAAGTAAATGCCAGACATGCGAAGACTATAGAATAATTAGCCTAATGAGCCACTTACTTAAAACGTTCTTGTAAGTGATACACGGCAGGATATATAAAAAATGCGAAGAACAACTATCATGACGCAGTTTGGTTTCCACGATTCCTTAGCACTCGAGAGGCTCTATTCGCTGTCCAAGTGCTTATGCAAAGATGCAGGGATGTTAACTGTGATGTGTATATTTGTTTTATCGACTACAAAAAGGCATTTGATAGAGTAAATGCATAAACTTATAAACATCTTGTAAGAAGTGCGTTAGATGATGGTGACTTGAGAATCTCTATAATTTATATTACAACCAAACAGCCAATATTAAAGTGATGACCAATTGACAGAGCAGTCTCCAAAAGATAGAGGACTAAGGCAAGGATGCATTCTGTCCCCGATGTTATTAAATATATACTCTGAATATAATATCTTCGAGCAAGCGCTGGGAGAACTACAAGAATGCGTATTAGTCCACGTAAAGTGTCTGAACAACATTAGATATGCCGACGACGCAGTAGTTTTTGCAGATAGTCTGGACGGTTTGCAAAGAATAATGTCGCGTAAATCAGATATAAGTAAGAACACGGACTTGATCTTAATACGAAGAAAACAAAGTACATGGTAGTCAGTAAGCGCGACATATTAAATACACAGCTTTTGGTTAACCAACATCCAATTGATAGAGTGGACAGCTACACATACCTTGTTGAAACAGCAAATCTGTGTTCTTTTAATAGTTCTTGTATTACCTTTTAAAAATGTAGTAAAAGCTACTTGTAAGAAAAACAATGCCGTTGGTTCTTTTTTTCAGGTACGACATATGTGCGGATGAAGGCAAGGATTGTGGACTTATGGCTTAGCTTACGTCGCTGGAGCTTGTACGAAAGAAGAAAATTGTGCCATTAATGAAGATGGTGGTTTAACATTGGGAATCGTTGTCACTCATGAAATTGGCCACGTGTGCGTATATTTGACATAAGTTTTTTATAAAATTTTTACTATTTTCAGTAGAAAAGACTTCTTTTTTAAAATAATGAATTGGTTGCTCGTGTGACTTCATTTCACAGTTTTTCAATTCATTATTATTTGTAGTTGCCCAGCTGTAGATTTCCAGAACGTGCCTGAAAACAAATTAAATTAAAACAAATTTTTACTCTGATTTGAAAGACAAAAATTATGAGGCTTGAGTTTCTCCAAAAAATAATTGCAAATAGCAGTCTAGAATAAATGTGGGCATCACAAACCTTTAATCTCTCTCTCTTCAATCCTGACCCCCCAGGGGGAATGTAGTGGTCGACGTGATGTCGTGTATTGTCCGTCTCCAGAGATCTCTGTCTCTGGTCATTTCTTTTAATTCCTGCATAGGTCTTTGGCATATTCCTGTAATTTGATCTATCCATCTTTTTGGGATCTTCCTCGTGATCTTCGGCCTTCTACCTTTCCTTGTATTATAGTCTTTCCATTTTTTTGTGTTTGCTCTCACAACATGCCCAAATATTTTAATTGTTGGAGATGACTTTACTAGAGAGTCGTTGGCTAACTTTTAGCTCTCTTAAAACTGAATTATTTGTTCTACCGTCGGTCCAAGGAATTCGTAACGTTCGTCTCCAACAGAACATTTCAGTGACGTCTATCTTTCTTCTCTCCGATTGTCTCAGAGTCCAAGATTCACATCCGTAGGTCAGTATTGAGAATATTAAGCAGTTGATCAACCTCATCTTTATCGCTCTTGAAATTTGACAGTCCTTCCATATTTTGGTCATTTTTGCTGTGGCAACTTTTGCTAGATCACATCTACGTTTAATCTCTTCTTGTAATGACCCTGTGTTTGTAATTAATGATCCCAGATATAAGTATGAGCTAACAACCTCGAACCGGTCAATTGTGGTTATGTGTGGATGATTGTTGTGTAGTCTATCCACTATCATGATCTTTGTCTTTGATAGTTTAATTGCAGACCAAATATTTGACTTTCGTTTTCGATCAGTCGTATACGTTCTATCAGCTCTGCTTGACTATTTGTAAGAAGGCTGTGTCATCTGCGAAACGTAGGTTGTTTAGTTTATGACCATTTTATTGAGATGCCCTTTTCCCATCCTTCAAGTGCTCTTCGCAGAATATTACCTTTAATATGCACCTGTGATTGCGATATGTTTTTACCAATTATTTAGTTTTTATATAAGGCCTCTGACTCCAAAAATTTTATGAGTTTTTATGTCAGTGAAAGAAAAAATCCATTTTTATTTGATAACTAATTTTAAAATCGAATTACTTATATTT